GCCTTGTGGCCGGGGCTGCGAGCGGGGGAGAGGCACAAAACCGGGCTGGGGTCCTGCCCTGTTGGGCTCAGACACAGCAAAGGTTGTGCTTGGAGCAGTGGAAGGCTTTGGTGCTGGGTGCTGGTCACTTGGCCCATCCTGGTTAGTGGTGGACAGCTGCACTCTGCTTCCCTGTGTTCCTGGGATGGAACAGGGAGTGTGAGCAGTGGCTGGGAGGAAGCTCGACTTGGGAAAAAGAAAATAGTTGTAGTATCCATGGAGAAACTTAAAGGGACATGACTGCCAATACCAGTGTCAAAAACTTAGTTTCTGGGAAGACAGTGTGAGTTTAATTAAACTGAATTGAGCTGCTTTGTAAGTATTGATTATTTCAGTTGCATTTCACACAATTTTGTAGCCGTGTAGAGTTAGTCTAGTGAAAGCCTCTATTGTTGAGGTTGCTGAGGAATGAAAAACCTTCTCCAGATCACAGCACCAATGCAACTGTTACTAAACTGTGTCCTGTGTTTGGTGGGATAGATGACATTAATATTTGGGTTCAGTAACTTTTCCATGTTATTACACTAGTGAAAAAGGAGAGGTGTGAGAGAAGGATCCATGCAAATTCTTTGGATCCACAGCAGTTTGGTCTTGCCTAGTGCTGTAGCAAGGTTATTTGATGAATGTTTGTGCAGTGTAACCCATCCACCCCTGAAGAAATCAATGGGCCACAAGGCAGTGTGCAGGTTGTCTGTCAAAAGGTGTTCTGACCATGTGAAGAAGTTCTTCCTGTTACAAAATTAGAAGCCAGTTTGTTCTTTCTTTATGATTTTTTTTCTTTCTGACTCAACTGTGATGACTTTTTGTTGGAAAGCCTGAGAAAATAGGGGTGCAGAGGGTTTTGAAATGACACACTAACCCGTGATGCAGCAGGATTTCCTTGTGAGCAGGAGCTGACTTCAGGGCTGTGATTAATCTGAGAGGATGTAACTGTTACTGACTGCTCAACAGAGAGTGTGCAGTTGAAATTCTGTGTTGCTGCTGCTGATGGACACATGGATTTACATCAGTGAGAGTGGGTAGTGGGAATGAAGCTGGGTGAAAAATTAATGCCAGTTCTGGAGGTTAGGAGCACTTCATCCATCTAGAGCCCCTGTGTCCTGGGGACTGCAGTCCACAGCCTCTGGTGCTTCCTAACATTTCACCAAGTGCTGGAGGTGACTGGTTCACTGAGGGCCAGCATTTCTGGCCAAATGTCCCAGCCAGGATGCTGTGGTCTGAAGTTGTGAGGGCAGCTGGAGCCCTGCTGCTGGAGCCCTGTGCCCGGGGTCTCTGAGCTTGTCACCTCCTGTCCCTGTCCACAGCCTGCCCTTCATGGTATGCAGACTCGGACGTGACTTCTTCTGCAACTGCAGTGCACTTTGGAGAGTGGAGAAGGTTTGTGAACAATGTTATAGCTCATACTTGGATGCAATGACAAAATTTGTTCCTTGGGGTAGTCAGAAACTCAGCAAGTGAATATTTTTCATTTGAAAGAACAAAATGTACCTCGAGTTTGTGCTGGTGACTGTGGAATCTCTCATTTCTTTCTCTTGGTTGTAAAGACATGCCCTGGTACAATTTGGCTAAATACTGGTAATTTAAATAACATTTTAGTGGGCAAGTGAGCCCAGAGAAGTGTAAGGATGCAGTGAGAGAAATGCTGAATTGTGATGACTTTCTAAGAAGAGTCCATTTAGTGGGATGAGAACATGCCTTTATGGTAATATTGTGGTTTGTTTGCTGGTAATGTGCACAAAAGCCTCTCACACCCTGCTGAGAATTCCAGAGTGCCAGATCTGTAATTACCACAAGACGTACTGAAAGAGGCAAACTGCTGAAGTTGTGCAGGGATGTGAAAGCCAGAATTCCACTGCAGCACTGCTGAATGGGTGATTGGCCTCTCTGGGATCTCCCCATGCTGCACCTTGGAGTTCTGGGACGAGGCTCTGGCTTCTGCTTGCAGTCAGAACCAGAAGGTGATGCTGAATCTGGTGCCAAGATAAGGAAATGCCTTATCTCAATTTGCTCTATCGACTTCAGGACTTAAAATGCCAGCCCATGTCTGCAAGATACTTCCTGCTTTCTTTAAAGTTTTGGGGGTTTACTTGTAGTCAGTCTCATTTATCAGTGGAGCTCTGAAGCTCCAGTTGCAGATTGTCATCTCTGGCTTGCAAAGCCACTGTGTGTGCTCATTCTGGCTAAAACCAGAAAGGACTAGAGTTGGTTTTTGTTCTTGGAGAAGAAAGGGAAATCCTACAAGGTTTTGAGTTCATTAGCTGATAATTGTTTTGTTGTTTCTGCCCGTGGCATCCAGGGATATGCAGTATTTTGCTTTTCCATAGTGATGTAATTTTGTTGGTTTGGGTGTTCAATATGTGATCAGAACACAGAAACCTATTTCTTTGTTCCCTTAGAAAATATGTGGTTTAGAGAGTGTTATTATGACCTCTTGCAACTTTTCAGTCTGAAAAACACTTTAAAAAATAGGTGTTGTTTTGTGAAGGTGCGCTCTGATTTTTTTTTTAAAGGCAGACCTCACCTTCAGTGTTAAGGGAAGGAACTGCAGAGGAAATGTTGTCCTTAGTTGTGATTTTGTAGCAATGTGCTAATTTAATTTCTGATATGTCCTGTTGGAAGTCTGACTGTAGGCAATGGTGCAGTATTTTGTGTCACTGAGAGAACGCCCAGGAGCTCAGGTGCTCTCCCTGTGGTTTGAAGGATCCCTGCTCCTAGCTTTGCCAGCTTTGCCACATTTCCTCATTTGCATCCCTGCAGGCATTTTTAGTTTGGAAAATGCTTTAAAATAATAACAGTGTGCTTGAGATAGCAGGATGCCTCCAACAAGATCCATTAGGGCCCAAAGTGTGACCTGTGTCCTGTTCTGAGCTGTAGGTGTGACATGGACTTGGTAAATTTGGTAACTCTGCCTTAATTTTGGAATATCTGTGGAGTAAATGCCTATTTATAACTGCAGGTAATTCCATATGAAGTACAAGGAGTGAGATAGGAGGTTTTTCATGCCTTCAGGCCCCTGACTTTGGCGGGTGCTGCTCTCTTTGCTCAGAGCTGGGAGCACTGGCTGGCCAAAGCCACCAGCACCCACTCCCTGAGCTGCTGCTCATCCTGCCCACAGGGAATTTGGGTCTGCAAAAACACAAAAAGGGTGCACATGGTGTGGTGGGACAGGCTCTCAGCCACAGTTGTCAGCATTCTCAGACATGAGAGTGGGAGTGTGTTGTGAGCTCCAATCACACAGATATTAATAATTTATTTCACAATTAGGAGCAGAAGGTGGAATTCTTAAGCCTGTCCCACTTCAGCTGGAGGGCAGGCTGTTTCAGGTGGTTCCCAAAGTAATGTTTTACTAGAAAGCAGCGTGAGGGAACATCCAGCCAACTGTTCCTTGCTGTGCAAGGTTTCAGCAGCAGATATGTTATTTATTCTATAAATAAATCTAGTGAGTTTATATTCTGTAACTCTACAAATAGCAGACTTGTATTATATTGGCAGATTAGCTGAATGAAAGCAGTGTTGACAGATTGTTCAGCTCATAGGAAAAAGGTATTTCTTTGGAGAGTTACTTAGGATTATCCTGTGTGTCAGAAATGTTTCTAAATGTCAACTATTTTTTTACAATAAAATAATAAAAATCAAACCAATTAATCTTGAATACATGTGGAGGTGTTTTTTGAAACCAAAATCCAATAACAAGCTGAGTATCTGTTTGCTCTCCCCCACATGAGGGTTTCTCTCTCTCCTTTTAGGGTTAGAATCCCCAAGGACCTGGAAGATACCAACATGTTTGTGTTTATAAGTGGAAAATGAAACTTCATTTGCCAACGGGTAATGAATTCCACCTTAAGTGCATGCTCAATGTGCCAGTTTTGCATTGTTAATTTCTGGATCTGTTCATTCAGACCACATGAGCTGCTTGCTGCCAGTGGAATTGCTCAAGATGGTTGAGCTGCTCTGCCAGGCAGCCTCAGCTGAGAGGAGTCTGTGTCTCCACAGCTGTACAGCTCTCCCTTCCCTTTGTGCTGCTGCCTTGACCTTCCCTGGAGCTCAATTCCCCACCTGGAATTCAAACTGCTCTGCTTGGGAGGGAGGTGTTTGTGCCCAGTGAGTGAATCCAGTCAGGCTGTCAGAGTCAGGAGGTGACAGAGCTGATCCAAGGTCAGTGGCAGGAATACTTCTGAGGAAAAATGGTCCTGGAGATGGGGATCCTTCAGCTGAGAGGTTCAGGTTGGCCCAACTGTGCTGGCTGTGGGTGTTGAGCTTGGAGCCCACTGCTCTGTGCACAGCTGGGATTCTGTGGGTGACTCTGACGCTCCGAGTGCCCCTGCCAGCCCTGCTCTCTGCAGCCTTTGTGCTTCCCTTCCTCGGGCTGCTCCTCCCTGCCAGAGTAGCCTGGAGCCATCAGCACCTTGCTGGCATTCTGTTCCACATGGAAGGGTCCCAGCGTGGCCTCCAGCTCGCTCATGGTGTCGTGGGCTTGTGTGGGTTGGCAGGGACCTCACAGAGCACCTTGGGGACTCCTGGTGCCCTGCATTCCTTGGACTCCCCTGGGCCTCCTGTGGAGTCGGAGATGAGCCCTGGGTTTGCTCTTTGTCTCCTGTCTCCTCACCAGGTAACCTGTCCCTGCCAGGGCTCTTGTTGCCATGGCAGCCTCATTTCTTTAAGGGCCTTTTCTGAAGAATCTTGTTAAATGTCTCTTGGAAATTAAAGCAGCCTTTGTGAGGTACAGTCCACTGGTGTAAGGGAGGCCTTGTGAGAAATCCTGTAGATTTGTGGAACTTGACTTTTTTATACAAAAGGAAGGTTGATTTCCCTGTCTGATGCTGTAGTTTATTTAGTTGCCTGCAGGTCTATTTTCTAGAATGGTTTCTACTAAATTAGGCTCACTAGACTAACAGAGTGTTAGGTGAGAGAGTAAACATAACTATAAATTATGTTCAAGAGTAAGCACTGCTTCAAGCAGTAGAGTTTTATTTTGAAGGCTGCTTTCTTCTGGTTCACTTATGTGGCTTCTTTGGTGTCTGATAGTTTTGTTTTCCCCACATCCTTACTTTAATAGGACATTGCTTGTGGGAGAGGAATTAAACATCTCTCTTCTAAGAAATGAATATTTTTGACAATAGAGAGGTACTTATATATTTTGGGATCCCTGTTTTCCTGAGTTCAGTGGAAATGGGTCCATGCACTGATAATTATTGATAGTGGAGATGGAGAAAAGGACAGAGAGAAGGAATATACACAGAGTACTCTCCTGTGGGCCTGTTCCTGTTGGCTACTGGGCTGAAACAAACCCAAACAAATGGTTGCAGTGATACTGTAAAACAACGTAGCACAGCGCTGAACAGATCATCCTTGCACACAGAGCTGAGACTGGAGGGGCTGCCTGCCTTTGGCTGCCTCCAAACTGTGCTCAGCCATCTGTAACCTTTGTGCCCTGCTCCACAGAGTGCCTGGGAATGGCAGTGAGAGTGCAGGAGAGCTCCAGCTTTGGGTACTCTGCCCTTTGAGTCTCAGATCCTGGCTTGTTCATTCTTCACCTCCTTTCAGTTCCTCCATCCCAGTGTTTTCCTTAAGCTCTTTGATGCTTTTTCTGTTTTAGCACTAGCTGATTGTTCCGCTTGTATTTACATAAATCAAATAGAATTCACCTATAATGTGTCCTTTCCCATCCCTCTGAGAGGGGTCAGCACAGCTGATCAGAGGACATGGTATCATTTCTGTGGGTTTGTGCATCTGTTTTGCTCCCCAAGTCAGAGGAGTGGTTGTTTTCTTTCCTTTTTTTTAAATATCTTTTGTTTCTGTAAGCTCCATTTGCAACAGTTTTCTCTGACAAAGCAGTAAGATGAAACTGTAATTTAATGCCTGATTCAAAATGGTTTGGGGAAGTTTTGAATACTAATTATTGTGCTGTTGTACAAGATATTGGACATGCTCAGAACCTGGAGAGGTGTGTTTAGGTATTGAGCTGTTGCACTTAATTTTTTTCCCAAAAGCAACCAGAGAAGCTGCTTCATTTTACTTTGCAAGGGAAAGTTTTTACACACTCAAGTTCATGTTGGTGGAACTACAAAGCACCAGCATCAAGGACAGAAAGCACTGCTGTGGGGGCTTATGTAAATCCTATTGCCTGACCAGGTAATGAATTTCTTGTCTTGGAGGTAAATGTTTGTGAATGCCAGAGCCATTAGAGCTGGGAGGAGCCTTTCCTATTGATATGCCTCACTTTTCTGATTTCTCATTGTTGGTTGTTGCTTCAGAGGTGTTGGTGTCCTGGTGGAAAGCTGAGAAGGAAAGGCAAGGGCTGAGGGATGGGAATCACGGCGAGCAAAGTGTTCATTGAGGGGTGCAGGGAGGAGTTGCCACTGTAGCTGCCGTTGTTCCCTGGACATTTTGTTTCCCCAAGGCAAGTGTATTGTTACAAAACTGCTAAGGTTTAAATGTGTATCCTTTTCTAAACTTTCAGAGTATTTTCTTGGTGATTTCTGCCATAGAGAATTGCCAGGCCTTTTGCAAGAGTGTGCCATTCATCAGCACCCTCCATTGCATTCATTGCAGGACTTGGAGCCCCTGTGCCATGGCAGGAGGTGCCCACCAGCCTTTTCTACAGTAAATTCTGAGCTATTGGCAGGGTATGTCACTGACACAGTTTTATTGTGAAATTCACAGCTGAGAATAACCTTTCACATCTTCCTCGCCCATAAATTTTTGGCAGTCAGCTCCTTTTTTGTCTGTCCCTCAAAGAACTTCCTTGACCTGAAGCCATGCTTTGATAACACCCACAGCCAGGGCTGGGCTATTGTGTCTGCCTCTGTCCTGGAGGCCACGTGTTGCTCCTCTTTGTAACTGTGCTTGCATTCATGCCCATGTCAAAAGAGAATGACTTGGTGTGGCAGTGGTCACAAAAAGCATTCAGCATGTGGGACAGGCAGCTCTGATTTGTAGTTCCCCAGTTCTGATCTCTTCACCCACAGGCCTGGTCAATGACAAGCAGCAGCAGCAGCAGCCTGTGGAGTGTCACAGAGTGTCACTGCAGTTATTTATGCTGCTGGAATCCTGAGCCTGTGTGCAGGTTCACTGCTGCTGGCAGAAGTGAGCCTGACACAGGGAAGAGCTGCTGGAACTGAGCTGTCATGGAACAATTACATAATTAAAGAGCATGGGAATGTACCAAAGCAGTGACTTCCAGCTTTTCAGGAGAAATAAATTCATGGTGAGCTCTCTGCACCAAATGAGGTGTCAGGGGTGAGAGGAACAGGCTGTTCCTGGCACCTGATGGGGCAGCTGGTACAGAAAGTGGTGCTGTGCAAAGTAACTGCAGCTCCTCAAGTGGCTTGTTTTATATATCTGTATAAGAAAGGTGCCTTTTTAATCTCTGGACAAGCTCTTGCTGGTGTTGGTGGCATGCCAGGCTCTTTGAAGGAAGACCCAAGAGCAGCAGGAGTGGCTTGAGGCAGTGTAGGAACTGTCCTGCCCTTCCTGTGACTCCTGCCTCTGATGCTGCAGTCAGAGCTCCCTGAAATGGGGCCTGGGCTGGGAAGACACAAAGCTGTGGGGAAGGAAGGGAAGAACGTGCTGGTAGAAGGCTAGAAATGATGTGAATATCATCTTACATTCACCACACTTGCCTATTAATAGCCAACAAAGAACAAAAATTTAATACACAGGGCAGCCTCATTTGTATTATTTTTCCTTGGCTGTAAGCTCAGGCAGTTTGGGACTTGGTTGCTCGGGATTTTTTTTAATCCCCAAGGGGAATGTTGGTTTTTCCATTGTTGTAGATGGCTCAGATGAGCACGCCTGTGGTTGAGATGGGTTTTGTTAGGCAGTTACTCCCATCTAATTTCAAATAACAAATGCCTTTGACAAATCAACTGTCTGGACTGGAAATTCCTGTGTTAAGTTTTTAGCTGGAGATTGGTTGTTTTTGTGGTGTTCCAACAGAATTTATTCAAATTGGTGTTTGAATATGAGATTAAGGTGGGGTGTTCTTTTGGTTTGAATATGAGATTAAGGTGGGGTGTTCTTTTGTTTTTTGTTTGGTTTTGTGTTTTTGTTTTTTGCTGGGTTGTTTTTTGGGGTTTTTTTCTGGTTGGTTGGTTGGTTGACTGTTTGCTTTGGATTGGTTTGGTTTTTTAGGTGTGGTAAATACATCTTCTTCTAAGGATTTCAGTGGGTAATTCCTGCTGAGTTTTCATGCTTCAGGTTAAAGGCCGATGGCTTTAATGAGATCCTTGTTCCTCAGTTGTTAAAAAAAATCCACATTGCTTGATCATTTTATAATTGTCTGCAAAACAGTGAGTGGCAGCTTGGTTTGACTGGGATATCTCTTTCTTACAGATTTTGTAGTTGTGCAGGTTTTGCATAGGAGCATTTTGTGTGTATCACACGGAGAGTAACCTTCACTGCATCCTCCCAGCTCTGGGAAGGACAGGAGTTTGACAGACATCAGTCTGCTGCTTGTGAGCAGAAGCCATTCCTGAGCACCAGACTGTGTGAGGCACAAATCCCCAGGTTTGGAAAGCAGGCTTTGATTTTTTGGTCTCTTGCCATAAAGTTGCCAAAAGGTGGAACTTGTCAGTCAGGTGTCTTTTGTGCTGTATCCCTGTTTCCTCCAAAGCAGGCGAGTCACTGAGGGCTCAGATAAGGAACAAATGTTTTTCCTACCTTTGTTTAGGAAAGAGCACTTATTTTGGATGAAATCTCCCAGAGGAACCTGAACAGATACCGGATGGGGAGATCAGTAAACCCAGCCAGGATATAACAACGCCATGTGCTTGGCCAGTTGAGGATGTCACAGTGAATACAAAATAAGGGAGCAAAATCTTGGG